GATGAGGGAGCACAGAGTGCAATGACTTGCAGAAACCTGCCTCACTATAACATAATTCACCTGCAAGTTACCGATGTCACGCTCACTCCGTGGATCAGGCGGCGGACGTTGTCCCCTGGGTCGGTCGAGCTGTTAAAATACTTCTCTATGTGTTGGTTACATACCCCGGTGGGTCTGTATGCACTTTGGAAGGCTTTTCGAAACCGGAAACTTGGCTCGCTTTTTGTGTCCATGTCGGCAGAGGCATACGCTTCCCAACGTAGCACTTACTGGTCGTTTTAGTTCGCAGTCTTTGTAGCCAGGACTGGAAGGATAGACGGATTATCACTGACTGCTACACGCGTTTTCTATTACGTCTGAGGAAATTTGTGCCTATACGGGCCTATTGAACTGCAGGATTGCTTCTCCTGTTACCGCATAGGAATGCTGAAAATTCTGCATTTGAGTACACCATTTGAACCCGCCTTGGTTTGTGTTTTAGGCAACAAGTCTGTTTCAGGATCGCCTGACTAAACGACTGGACGCAATAGCTGCACTCTACTGGCCCGTAAGCCTTAAATTCTTTTGTATATTTTATGTCCACTTTGCAAACGCCCAGTTCTATCTTCATAAGAGCGTCCTATTCCTCCTTTCTGGCAGCATCGCGTTCATGGAGTTGGCTATGTTTACCGATCGTTCAGTACCAGTCTGCGTCTTTGCTACCTCCTGCTGTTTCGCGACATACTCTACAATCCCAAACAAGGTAAATATCCCTCATTATAGCTTATAACATCCGTCTGTGGTCTGGCATTGAAATATCACACTGTTTGTGCTCTCCCTGATCTACTAGACGTGGAGGTACGGATAAAGCCCTTTTCGGCCCATAAACATAAAAGTGCTATGCTGGTCCCCTGCGTTGCTTGTCGTCTGTTTGTTTTGCATCCCTTGTCCTTGCAACTTCCTAGCTTGTCACGCACGCATGCCGACCCCGTCCTCTTCTTACTTGCGTGCATTTGTTTGCTTCAACGCATTTTAACGAAGCTGTTTTTATTCCTCACAGTCTTGAAGCTTTCTTATCTGACTGCCAGCCCGTGCAGTAATATCACCGTTAAAGTGTCCTTTTGGTATACTTCTTTTAGAGATACGCGCACTTGATGACCTTTTTTCCTCACTGGAAAGGTGATAGATCTGCAAGTTAATTAAAAGCTGTATGCATCCACGATTCACTATTGCCGTTGCATTTACGACTCCGTTGAAAGTTCATCAAAC